CCAGAGTCGGCCATGACTGGACCTAATGGTCAGGGGTCCCTTTACCTTTTAATGCTCAAAACAGGAGAGTGATGTTTGAGCAGAACCCCACTCCTGGTTGAACCTCTGGAACTTGCTTCATGAACTTATTCCCTGCTAGGAGTAGGGCACACAGCCCATGCTGGTTTTAACCATGGTCCTCCCACCCATCAGCTGGTGTCAGCAGAAATGTGGGTGTAGTGTGGAGAAAATGGCCTTGAGGGCCAAATTGGATCCCTTAGCAGGCCAAGCTTGACCCACAGGGCCATCACCGCTGTCCAAAATCAGGCTGGGGATGTTGATAAATTCATAGTAGGTAAATGTGAATTGCTGGAACCTTATTCGATTTAGTCGCGGGTTTGGAGGGTTTTGTTTTATTTATTTATTTGCCCCCTCAACAGGCATCTTCTGACAAAGCAAGATCTAACAAAACAAAAAAAGGCGTTCGAATCAGCAGGGAGAGCTGCAACAGTTCTTTCTGAAACATGATTCACGAGCAAGCACCACTAAGCTTGTAGAGTGGAGGCAAAATGATTCAGAGCCTTCTACACTATCCTAACGCATAAATGAGTCAAATTAATTTTTATCGCCATTTCTATTGTAGGCATTTGAGATGTCCAGCGCTAATTTACTAGGGACCTTTTCAGAATTCTTTCAGTGTGTGAAGGAGGAGTGCAAGGGGGACCATATGCCCTGGCCTCCGCTCCTGACCTCAACATATTTATTTGAAGGTTGCAATAGAACCTCCATATATGGGCATCTGTCTGCCCCTAGGGCTCCGTATGACCAGGAGTCCTATTTTTCTCCAGGATTCCTGACCGTTTGAGAAGAAGCTGGATGCACAGAAACTGAGTTTTGACCTTCAGATAAATACACAATGGACAGGATGAACACAATCCTGTTTTTTCAGTCCCCACTTGTGCAATGAAACGGGGGTGAGGGAGCTGTGACCTTTTAGATATTGCTGGACTACAACTCCCATCATTCCTGAGTATTGGTCATGCTGGCAGGGGCTGCTAGGAGCTGAAGTCCCTCAACATCTGGAAGGCCACAGGGTCCTCACTCGGCATTGAAATAATGTACCATAGGGGCAATGATAGGACTAAAAGCTCTTTTATTCTCTCTCATTTTAACTAGAAGGCTCCAGAAAAAGCAGCCATGAAACAAGCACAGGAACCATTGAATGAGATAGTGAGCCATCAAAATGGTTTTCCCATTGACTTCAATTGAATGAAAATGGCACCCTGTTTAGACTCACAAGGGAGCCATAAACATTGTTTACTTATTTTTAAAAGGTAGGGATCATAGCTCAGTGGTGGAGAACATTCTTTGCCTACATAAGGTCCTAGGGTTGTCTTTGGTAAATGGATTGGTAGCAGCAGGTGATGGGAAAGACCTTTGCCTCAGACCCCAGAGAGCTCTGAGCAGCCATTCAGAGTAGACAAAACTGGGTTCAGGCTCCAATCCTCTAGCAAATTACTTGGGAACAAGACTCTTTGGACTTAGTGGGACTTTCATCTGTCCTGAGCCGTTCAGCATTCAACTTCATTGGCTTTCCATGAGTTCTAATGTTATGAGAGAGGGAGCAAAACTTTTCTCTTGCCACTTTCTCCATGCCACATACCATTCTATAAACTTCTATCGTGTCTCCCCTTTCTCGTCTTATCTCTAAGAAGTTCCAAACACTGCAGGTAGAAGCATTGCATCATTCCCCAGCCGTCTCTCCTAGGCGAACATGCCAACAACCCTCCAATATGGAGAAGCAGATGGACTGAAACAATGTAGATAGATCTTCACAGCAGGTTTTGGTGGACCCTCATCATCTATCTACATTCCATCTCCATCTGCAGGGATTGATAAATTAGTCTATTTTTATTCTGTGTCGTATTCACAGGTGTTTGTCAGTAAATTCTGTTGCCACATAAATCTGATTTTCCTTTTTTAAAAAAAATAAAAATGCACAAAGCCACATTTAAATATGTATCTCAAAATACATATTTTGAACACATGGTGCTACATTTTTTTAAAACAACAACAACTGAGAACCGCATCAGAACGTTTGAGAAGATTAGTAGCTGGTGGATAACCAACTTTCATTCTGCAGATTATTCCAGGAAGTGTAGATTAGGTTAGTTAATATCTGAATTAACAAAGATCAAATTCTTCGAGTATTCCTACCCTCCCGGTCCTGTGGCTTTCCACATTCTGACTAGTTCCCCTGGACAGCAGTTGCTAGGAATCACAAATGAGCGAGGCGCTGTTAAGAACATATGGAGAGCCTGCTGAATCAGGCCAGTGACCCATCTAGTCCAGCATCCTGTTCTCACAGTGGCCAACCAGATGCCTGCAGGAAACCAGCAAGCGGGATCTGAGCCCAAGAGCACTAGCCCCTTGTGTGGTTTTCAGCAACTGCTTTCAGAAGCATTGCTGAACCCAGCTGTGGAGGCACAGCAGAGCCATAATGTCTGTTGTTGTTTGTTGTTTAGTCATTTAGTCGTGTCCGACTCTTCATGACCCCATGGACCAGAGCATGCCAGGCACTCCTGTCTTCCACTGCCTCCTGCAGTTTGGTCAAACTCATGTTAATAGCTTGGAGAACACTGTCCAACCATCTCGTCCTCTGTCGTCCCCTTCTCCTTCTGCCCTCCATCTTTCCCAACATCAGGGTTTTTTCTAGGGAGTCTTCTCTTCTCATGAGGTGGCCAAAGTATTGGAGCCTCAGCTTCAGGAACTGTCCTTCCAGTGAGCACTCAGGGCTGATTTCCTTAAGAATGGATAAGTTTGATCTTCTTGCAGTCCATGGGACTCTCAAGAGCCTCTTCCAGCACCATAATTCAAAAGCATCAATTCTTCGGCGATCAGCCTTCTTTATGGTCCTTCTTCATGGACCACTGCCTTATTGTGGCGAAGGGGCTTGAATAAGCTATGAGCTATGCGGTGCAGGGCCACCCAAGATGGACAGGTCATAGTGGAGAGTTTTGACCAAACGTGATCCACCTGGAGCAGGAACCGTTAAGCCACTCCAGTATCCCTGCCAAGAAAACTCCATGGATAAAAACAGCAGGCCATAATGTCTAATAGCCGTCAATAGCTCTCTCCTCCATGCATTTGCATATCCTCTTCTTGGTTTCCTCCTAGGTATTCTTAAATTCTGCATAAAGAATCAGAAATCAGTCTTCTGCCAAGTAGCCGCATAGACACCCTCTTGCCACTGGTGAATTTGATGGAGGTAGCTTGGGCCCCAGGCTCATGTAACCATCAATGACATTTCAGCCTTCCTTGCTTCCTTGCAGCATCAGAAACTAGAAGCTCTTTTCACACTTTGCAATTCCTGGGCAGCAGCAGCAATAACAACACATACCTTCCACCTCCTCCTGCACACATTTAGAAAAAGGCTATATTAAAGCACTGTCAGGATAGATACAGTGTGTGCCTTGAGTCCCATCTTCCAGTCATGCAATTATCTTGGAATCTGGGCTTCGTATTACATTTAAACAAAGAAAATGTTTCTAGCTTTCATGGTTGAGAATGTAATCCAAGTGCACTAATCTAATGATGTTTATCTGTATCTGCAGACAGCCGCCTGCAACAAACAGTCAGAGAGATGTGAGATGTTCCACTTTTTTCATCAGAGTCTCTCTGCAGAGATGTTGATACCGTTTCAGCCGGGACCACATTGCTGTATTTTGGGGCCTTCTTGAGCAGGTTATGCCAAGCCCAAGGGCTGATGGTGGCTCTCGGGTCTCTCTCTAGGCCATGTCATCTCCAGAAGTGACACTCACAATTCAGGCAATCACTGACCTGACCTCTCACTCTCCTCAAAGTGCTTTTGCCTGGCTGGAGTGCATGGGCGCCTAGGGGCCCAGGGGGCATCACCTCCCCCCAATAAAACATTTGAGGGAGCCAGGGTCCCCCAAAGTTGATGGTCACTGCCATTCTAACAGTGTGCATGCAGCACATCATGTGATCGATTATGTGCATTGGCGGAGCTGCATGCTCCAGCACCGGGAGCAGAGAGCAGGTGGGGGGTTGGGGTGGCTGGCGCACATCCCAGGGGGCATGATGTGCACCACGCCCCTGCAGGCAGCATGGTGTACATCCTGGGGGTGTGGCTCACCACCCGCAGGGGTGTGTCCTGTGTCCCGGGGGCATGGCGCACCACCTGTGGGGGCATGACACCCGACATGGTTGGGGGTGTGTGGCGTGTGTCCAGGGGGGAGGCCACAATGGTACCCCCCTCCTTGATGGTGCTGGGGCCGGTGCGCTCCCCCCGCCCCCCATTCCTCCACAGATTATGTGGGGTGGGGCCTACCTGCCCCCCCATATTTTAGTTGGAGTGTCTCCCTGAACTGTGATAGTAATTCCTGCCAGTCAGGGAGGGTTTTTTTTTTTAAAAAAAAATCCCTACCCCTTCTCCCTTTGAGGAAATACTCAGGAATACTCCCAAAGGGAGGCTGTGAGGGGGCACATGGGGTCTGAGGTCCGATTGAGTGGGGGACTTGGTTGATAGGAACTGTAGTCCAACAACACCTGGAATGGCAAAGGTTCCCCATTCTTGTCTTGCCTGAACTTAGGGAGCTGGCTTATACCGAGTCAAGCAGTTAGTCCATCTAGCTCAGCAATGACTACCCTGACTGGCATCAGCTCTCCAGGATTTCAGACCAGGTAGATTCCCAGCTGTACTAGGAGACACCAAAGGTTCAATCTGGGACCTTCTGCATCCAAAGCCAATACTCTACCACTCAACTATGTCCAGTTCTTGAGGCAACAGCTTCCCAGAGCTGGGTTGTTGAAATATTGATGTACATTTGTTGCTTGCTTCAATAGGCACACAGAATGGGCTGTCGGGAATAAAATGGTAGAGTTGTGCTTAGGCATGACACAAACAGAAGTAGGAGCATGGAATCATAGAACTGCAGAGTTGGAAGGGACCCTGAGGCACAGCTAGTTCCAACCTCGGCAAGGCAGGAATATGCAGCTAACCCATACAGGGATCAAACCTGCAACCTTGGCATTAGTAGCACCACACTCTAACCAACTGAGCTATCCATGGCAATAAGGATCACCCACTGGAACTTAATCATACATTTGAAACACACACACACCACCACATATGCTAATGAACTTCCACACCAGCAGTAACTGCAAATCTACAAAATGTTATTTTCACACTTAACAGATTTTTCACAGCAAAAGGTAATCCACAGGGAATTTGTGATGTTTTTGTTTTTTTAAAACCACAGGCTGGCATTTTGATGCCAATGACGTCATACAGATGGCGTGAAAAACGTGCATGACCAGCTCTGGTTCCACAATAAAACTTTGGTCTGGAATCACTCTTTACTTTTCCTGGAAACAAGACTCAAACAGACTACAAAGAAAGAGGCAACCAGTTTTCTGTAAGAGATTCTTCCACATGAATTGGAAAAGCTATTAAATATCTTCTGTTAGACACAATGGAATATACCAGTAAAAAGCTATCGGTCTCTTGACATTTCTGAGAGGAAATGGCTCCGGCGATCAGTGAGGTGTGAAAGACTCATGTTTCCTCCAGTTTAATTTCATGGTAAAATATGAAGTGAATAATACACTCTCTAAAAGCTGCCAGAAAAGAGAAAGCAATGAAATCAGCCGACGCCTCCCCTCCGTGTTCCATCCCCGCTAAAGAGACAATATGAAGCTATTAAAGCAAAGTATCCCATTCTCTTTCCATTGATGGAGTGCGCCGAGAGGAAGGAGAAATTGCCCTTTTCCATCTCTGCGTATTTGACTTGTCTTGAGTGATTTATGGCAGCCTCGGTCCTAGGTGTGACCTGCAGGGAAGCTCCCTAGAGCAACGAAAAGAGCACACAGGCCTGCAAGGGTGAGTTATGGGCAGCCACTGAAACAATTTGCCAGCAACAAGAAGAAACAAAGATGACGATGCTTATGAAAAATGGCAGCAGGTCTGGAACTGGACAGATGGAAAGGGCGAGAGAGAGAACCCGAGGGAGAGAATTATAGTGATGGGCACAATGATGCTATGCTGTCTCTGATGATCATGCTTTCTTTATTGATATACATATGGAAGGACAGGAAGCTAGGTAGGTAGAAGGAAGGAAGGAAGGAAGGAAGGAAGGAAGGAAGGAAGGAAGGAGAGATTTCCCCTTGGATTAGACCAATCCTGCATCTGGTCCTGCATACTGCAGTACATAGTTAGACTATGGAATGTTCTCCCTGTCGTAAATTCTTCGCGGCGCTTTAGTAGAAATGCTCAGAGCTCTAGGTTCTTCAGTGCAGTATATTTATTGTGAGCTATATATACAAATATCTACAGGCTATAATACACGAGCAGTTCATACAGTCAAACTCTGGCTTCACCTTAAGGCAAATAGGAAGACCTTTCTATCTCTCTCTCTCTCTCTGACCACACTCCTCTACACCACCACCTTTACTGCTGGACAGGTTTCCCTTTTCAACCGATGACAGCCAATCAACTGACAGCACATTACTGCTGAGTCATTCTGACCCAGCACTTGCATAGAAAGTATTGCAGGCTGATTGCATCGGCCAGTTGCATCAGCTAGCAAACTCAAGCCTGCAGACTTACTATCTCACACAGCATTCTGTGATCCCAACACTCCCGTAAGAGGCAGTGCTGGCCACCAACCCAGATGGCTTTAAAGGAGGATTAGATAACTTCATAGAGGATAATGGAGTCAGTGGCTACAAGCCCTGATGGCTTTACACTGCATCCACAGCTAAAGGCAGGAATGGTTCTGAATACCAGTTGCTGGGGACCACAGAAGCAGAGAGTGGTCCTGTGCTCAGGTTCTGCTTGTGGGCTTCCCACAGGGATCTGGTTGGCCACTGTGAAAACAGGATGCTGGAACAGATGGGCCGCTGGTGCATCTTGCTCTTCTTATGTTCTTAAGTTTATGTTCGGCCACCAGTTCCTAAGCAATTGGCTTCTTAAATGGTATTTGCTCTCGGCTAAGCAACCCTAGATAAACAGGGGCAGCAGCAGTGAATCAAGAGCGCTACCCCTGTTTTGCAAAAGCATGCTGCATGCTTTGATATCGGCCGACTGTTGTGGAAGCCTTTGAAAGGACATCAAAGCTGCTTTAAAAATTGAATTAAGCTGTAGCTGTCAAAGAAAAACTAAAAGGAAGTTGAGTCTGAAACAAATGACTTGAGGTTGAAGTTTGCAGAGGCTAAAAAGAATTAAAAAAAATTAAAATTGAAATCAAAACCAATAAAGGAAACAAATACTCAGATTTGTCAAGTTGAAAGACTTTTTTTTTGCTGTTTTATCTCTCTCTTTCTCTGAGGCTTCCTAGTTCTTCAGAAAATTAGCAGATTCTTTTGTTTGGTATGTAGTCAGGGGTGTAGCTAGCTGCTCCGACGATCCGCGCATGGGGGCACCACACAGGGGTGCCACGGCGATCTGCGCATGGGGGTGCTGAAGCAAGCTGCCCATGGAGTCCGCCTGGCGGATGCAAGCCCCACATTGCTGTTTTGGGCAGCGCTGGGCACCGAGCCAACCCGTCACTCCTAGGAGAGTCGTGTGGCTCGGGCATGCTGCAGGCCAGGCCCTGCAGTAAGTGCCGACCACCGCGGTGTGCCATTTTGTCACCCTCCTCAAGGATGACACCCGGGGCAGACTGCACCCTCTGCAGTACCTAATTCAGAATGTTCTTCATGGAGATAGTTAGTTCAGAGATAGGAGGAGTTGGCAACTAAAGCTGAGATGACTGGGGTGTTCTAGGGAGCTTGGGAAGAGGTATTGTACTTTGTAAACTGTTGCCGAGCTGGAGAGATTCCAAGGATGAGAAAAAGAGACAAGAAAAGTGCACCAAAGGGGAGGAAGCAGCAGCAGTTATTTAGGATCCTGGGGATTCCCATCAATGGCGGCCAAACTACTCAGCATCAATCACAGCTCTGATTTCATCCCTGTTGCCTTGGTATATCAGTATCCATTCTACCTCCTGTTTGGTGGCACTGATTCAAGAAGAAGAAAAGAAGAAGAAGAAGAAGAAGAAGAAGAAGAAGAAGAAGAAGAAGAAGAAGAAGAAGAATTTTTAAAATTTATATCCCACCCATCTGGCTTGATTTCCTGAGCCACTCTGGGTGGCTTACAGCATATATAAAAACACAACAAAACATCACACATTAAAAAACAAAATATCCTATACATTTAACAAATAAAAACAAACCAATGAATCAATAGAAACCAATAATAACAATAAACATTTTACAGTTACAGTGGTACCTCGGGTTAAGTACTTAATTCGTTCCGGAGGTCCGTACTTAACCTGAAACTGTTCTTAACCTGAAGCACCACTTTAGCTAATGGAGCCTCCCGCTGCCGCCGCGCCGCTGGAACACGGTTTCTGTTCTCAACCTGAAGCAAAGTTCTTAACCTGAAGCACTATTTCTGGGTTAGCGGAGTCTGTAACCTGAAGCGTATGTAACCTGAAGCATATGTATAGAATCATAGAATCATAGAATCATAGAGTTGGAATAGACCACAAGGGCCATCGAGTCCAACCCCCTGCCAAGCAGGAAACACCATCAGAGCACTCCTGACATATGGTTGTCAAGCCTCTGCTTAAAGACCTCCAAAGAAGGAGACTCTACCACACTCCTTGGCAGCAAATTCCACTGTTGAACAGCTCTTACTGTCAGGAAGTTCTTCCTAATGTTTAGGTGGAATCTTCTTTCTTGTAGTTTGGATCCATTGCTCCGTGTCCGCTTCTCTGGAGCAGCAGAAAACAACCTTTCTCCCTCCTCTATGTGACATCCTTTGATATATTTGAACATGGCTACCATATCACCCCTTAACCTCCTCTTCTCCAGGCTAAACATGCCCAGCTCCCTTAGCCGTTCCTCATAAGGCATTGTTTCCAGGCCTTTGACCATTTTGGTTGCCCTCCTCTGGACACGTTCCAGTTTGTCAGTGTCCTTCTTGAACTGTGGTGCCCAGAACTGGACACAGTACTCCAGGTGAGGTCTGACCAGAGCAGAATACAGTGGCACTATTACTTCCCTTGATCTAGATGCTATACTCCTATTGATGAGGCCCAGAATTGCATTGGCTTTTTTAGCTGCCGCGTCACACTGTTGGCTCATGTCAAGTTTGTAGTCAACGAAGACTCCTAGATGCTTTTCACATGTACTGCTCTCAAGCCAGGTGTCACCCATCTTGTATTTGTGCCTCTCATTTTTTTTGCCCAAGTGCAATACTTTACATTTCTCCCTGTTAAAATTCATCTTGTTTGTTTTGGCCCAGTTCTCTAATCTGTCAAGGTCGTTTTGAAGTGTGATCCTGTCCTCTGGGGTGTTAGCCACCCCTCCCAGTTTGGTGTCATCTGCAAATTTGATCAGGATGCCCTTGAGTCCATCATCCAAGTCGTTGATAAAGATGTTGAATAAGATCGGGCCCAAGACAGAACCCTGTGGCACTCCACTAGTCACTCTTCTCCAGGATGAAGAGGAACCATTGATGAGCACCCTTTGGGTTCGGTCAGTCAGCCAGTTACAAATCCACTGAGTGGTAGCAGAGTCAAGACCGCATTTTACCAGCTTCTTTACAAGAATATCATGGGGCACCTTATCAAATGCCTTGCTGAAATCAAGGTAGGCTACATCCATTGTGTTCCCTTCATCTACCAGGCTTGTAATTCTGTCAAAAACGAGATCAGGTTAGTCTGACATGACTTATTTTTCAGAAATCCATGCTGACTATTGGTGATCACAGCATTCCTTTCTAGGTGCTCACAGACTGTTTGCTTAATGATCTGCTCCAGAATCTTTCCTGGTATTGATGTCAGACTGACTGGGCGGTAATTATTTGGGTCCTCTCTTTTCCCCTTTTTGAAAATAGGGACAACATTTGCCCTCCTCCAGTCTGCCGGGACTTCGCCTGTTCTCCAGGAATTCTCAAAGATGACTGCCAGTGGTTCTGAGATCACATCTGCCAGTTCTTTTAATACTCTTGGATGCAGTTCATCTGGCCCTGGAGACTTGAATACATCTAAACTAGCCAAGTATTCTTGTACTATCTCCTTAGTT